AACGGAAAATACATTTCGCCTGCTTCATCATCTTTACCTTAACTACTTAATAATTTAGCTGCTTTTTTTCCTCAGCTTTTCGTCAGGGACGTTCTTTAAAATAAAAAATACTGTAAGCGTAAGCGTTTGAAGAATTAGAAGAATTTGAAGAACCAGTCAAATGAAAAACTTAGGCTCCACCTACACTACACACACTCGGGATAAAATTGAAAACGCAACTTTATTTCTACGGTTTGGCCTGCCGTCCACGCTGATCCGTCACGAAACCAGGGCTTTTCGGAAACGCTTTTCAAACATTCAAATTTGAAAACGCTGGCCTCTCGTTCTCGTGTAAACAGAAAACATCTTGAAAACGGAGCTTTGTGAGAACGCTCTTCAAACCGGAAGAATTTGAAAAAAAAAACCAATAAAACCCCGCCTGCTTTGCGTTGAAGTGTGGACGAAAAACATTTTAAAAACGGAGCCTTTCGAAAACGATGGCGTCACAAGAATCATGAGATTTCCCTGCTTGAGTTTTCCTCGAAGTCAAATCCAAAAGCTGATTGTTTCCCGGCGTAGTGTTTACGGGGCCTCAATGATCAGTGTTCATTGCACATGCGCCACGTGAATATAGCGGGTGCTGGACCCGGGCCTTATTCTCTTTTATCTCCTGGTGAGCTAATTTTAAATTCAAACTATTTTGTCATTATTTTTAAAGATTTCATTTTCGCGGCTGAAATGTTGCACGTTCATAACATATAAATGACCACAGCAACATTTCCACCAAGGTGTATTAAAACCTCCATCGGCAATTATTACTTATGGACAACATTGGTATCATTGCACTAAGGAAATGGATTTTTCTCGGGTTTGAGGTAGAAGACCTGTGACGTGATACGCGAGCCAGCAAGATAGAACTTTTTCTTAGGCCCGGTTCATACGTCGCATTTCTGCCGTGTCGAATTCAATTCAATTAAGTGCGGCAGAAATGCGACTGTGGATTCATACGTCGCACTTGTGTCGCACTTAATTCAGAATTT